CATTTAAAACCACTGGGTCTCTTAAGCGTCCTTCATCCCTGCCAGGGAAGAATACTCAACTTTTGATAAGCACGAAGCAAAATAAGGCAGTCAGAGAACGGAATGGGTTAGCTTTACCTTCTGAAGATTCCTAGAGACTAAAAAATAATGCCGGCGGAAATCTCCTCGAGGACTCTGGGCATGAGGAAAAGAGTGAAAAGAAAAAGAAAAGAAAGGGATTTCTGCCTGGATGGAACATTTATATATCCATAGAAATACTAACTGTGTAGAACCAGAGCATGACGATTAGAGTGTTTGTTGCAGAGGAGAACCATGTACCAAAACAGAAGTTTTAGTGATTGGAATCCAATCATTGACTAAATTGGACTTAATCATTAGATTCTGCACATTTAATATACCTCTAACTGAGGTATGATTTAAAAAGAACTTTGTGTGCAATGTAACAGGGAAATGTGTGATTGTGCTTTTCAGTGAAAACAGAAGAAATGCTGAACGTCACTGATAGGCTGCATAGCTTAGCCGGTGAGAAAACCTCATAGGTGATGGAAGAATTTCACAGCAGGATCACTGGGGTGGGAAGGAAATAGGTTTGGGGGCCCAACCCTGTCAGCCTGATCCTCTGTACATGCTCTGTAGTAACCCAGGAGCTGGGTGACATCCCAGGCATGCCTGGGCACCTGACAACTCCTATCTCTTTCTCCTTTGCTTTCTCCGGCAAGTAACCACCTTGTTGTCTTCCTCCAGGTGCGGTTCCTGGAACAACAGAACAAGGTCCTGGACACCAAGTGGACTCTGCTCCAGGAGCAGGGTACCAAGACCGTAAGGCAGAACCTGGAGCCCTTGTTTGAGCAGTACATCAACAACCTCAGGAGACAGCTGGACAGCATCCTGGGGGAGAGAGGCCGCCTGGACTCGGAGCTGAGGAACATGCAGGATACAGTGGAGGACTTCAAGAACAAGTGAGTTCAAGGAGAGAAAGGGGTTCAGGTCCCTGAAGTGCACACTTGAAGACTACCAGGTGACCAGGTTCAGAGGTGGGCATGGTTCCATAGGGAAACAGGCCCATGGAAATGAAAATCACAATTATTACCTAAAAACAACCCCAAAAGAACAAATGGGCCACAGAGGTGGATGGGGAGAGAAAAGATAGGAGGAATTGAGGGAGCACCAAAAAATCGTTTTTGTGGCTCAATGGCAGGAAAGCTCAATTTGGATGTATCTGTTTTATGGAAAGTTGGGATCCCAGGCTGATCTTGCTGTATCATCTTCGCCACTGGCTCAATTGTGTCTTACCCTGTTCTAATTCTAGATATGAAGATGAAATCAACAAGCGCACAGCAGCAGAGAATGAATTTGTGACTCTGAAGAAGGTGAGCTGATAAAGATCTGGGGATCATGTTCCTTTGTAGAGGGAGAGGACTCTGGGTCTTTGCATACATCCAGAGGGGAATAGATGGGGAGACTAAAAGGTGTTCAGACTGGGAAGGAGGGCTCAGCTGACTCACTCCAAGGTGTTGGCTTATTCCCCAGGATGTGGATGCTGCCTACATGAATAAGGTTGAACTGCAAGCCAAGGTAGACACTCTCACAGATGAGATCAACTTCACCAGAGCCTTGTATGACGCAGTAAGCATCTCCACTCCTCTTTTTTTTTATTAGAAAATCAGGTTTATTACTGTTTTTAAGAATCCCAGGTGCCCCATCCATCCAAAGATATCTGCTTTCTTATCCATCTCAGTCCACTCCTCTTTTATTTGCTGTGATGGGGCTCTGCAAAGGGTGGAAGATCTCGGGGTTGGATACCTCTGTAATGCCACGGGAAAAGATGATCTGACGATCTTCTGCTCTGCAGGAACTGGCTCAGATGCAAACCCACATCTCAGACACTTCTGTGGTCCTGTCCATGGACAACAACCGTAACCTGGACCTGGACAGCATCATCGCTGAAGTCAAAGCCCAATATGAAGAGATCGCTCAGAGGAGCCGGGCTGAGGCTGAGTCCTGGTACCAGAGCAAGGTGAGCCTTGAGTTGACAGCTGCCCAGGAATGCCTGGGTCCCCTACCTGAACACCAGCAAGGCTACAGACTTCGCTGGGAAGTCGGCTGCAAGGAAGCTGATGTTTTCTCATTGGATGTGTACCCTGCACTCATAGAGCAGGCAATTACAGAATTTATGTCCAAGTTCAATAAGTCAAAGAACCCAAGTGCAGGAGGAGAGCTACATAGATAAGGACCTAGTGATCTTTGCTTTTGTCTTCATCCTGATGCTGGCTCTCAGAAACAGGATACAGAACATTGCTGGTCCCCAACTGAACTAGGCAGTCAGTGGTCCATTAGAAAGGGGGTCTGTGATCAATGTACAGTATCCAGTGACCTTGCCACATCAACTTTCCCTAAAATCCCTTGGGGAGAAGCCACTAGGTCCAAGTGTGTTAAATGCCTGGTTCTGAAGTCAAATCACCGTTAGTATGTGAAAGTCCATACACACCACCTTCTCTCTCTCTCTCTCTCTCTCTCTCTCTCTCTGGATTCCAGTATGAGGAGCTGCAAATCACAGCAGGCAGACACGGGGATGACCTGCGCAACACCAAGCAGGAGATTGCTGAGATCAACCGCATGATCCAGAGGCTGAGATCCGAGATCGACCATGTCAAGAAGCAGGTATGGTAGGGGGCTCTGGAGGGTAAAAGCATCCTTTCCTTGCTACACCACCAGGTGGTCATCAGCCACCATTTGGGAAATGCTGGGAATTGAGGGAACAGCAGAGAGAGGAGGACACCGTAGCTCCCACCCTTGTGAGTTCCCACAGGTTGGGACACACGGATGCCAACACTCCAGAATGATACAATCAGGTGACAGCAACGATCCCAGTTAGTCTGACTGTAAAAAGATAGTCTTGGGGCTTTTAAAAGATATTACTTAAGGAGAATGGTTGGTTTAGGAATATAAGAAACAAGTCAGGAAAGAAAAGGGGAGGCCAGAAGGGGGGCAAGATTGTCGCAAATCTGCTCAAGATTCAGCGGAAACAGAAAGTTGAGCAAGGACCCAGGGTGAAGATCAGTGTTGCCCAAGTGTGTTAGAATCCCTTAGGAGTGAGGAAGGCAGGATCTCCACAGCTCCATGGGAAACTCGTCCCCTTAAGTGAGGATGCTCCTTATTTTGTATAAGTTAGTGTGGCATCCACATGAGATCCTCAGAAAAGGTCTTGGTCTGGCTTTGGAAACGGCACTCAAAAGAAATGAGTGGGTCCATTTCTTCCAAATCTGCTGGTATTTTGTCCAGTGTAGTGCAGGATGGTTAAAAAAGGGCACAAGTTTTCTCATATGGGTCCCAGACAAGCTAACTTGTGCAGAACGGAAAAAGACTGGGCCAAAAGAGGCAGAAGTCCCTTTCTATGATATCTGGGCACTGTAACTACCTCACTAGAAAGAAGAAGTGTGGTTGGTCTCCTCCGGAGGACTGAATCACAAGCTCATTCTCGTGCGTTCCTCCTCTAGTGTGCCAACCTGCAGTCCGCCATCGCTGATGCTGAGCAGCGCGGGGAGATGGCCCTCAAGGATGCCAAGAACAAGCTGGTTGAGCTGGAGGACGCCCTGCAGAAGGCCAAGCAGGACATGGCCCGGCTGCTGAAGGAGTACCAGGAGCTGATGAATGTCAAACTGGCCCTGGATGTGGAGATCGCCACCTACAGGAAGCTGC